ATTTTAGTTTTTAAATATAAATTGAGATTTTAATTATTTTTAAAAATTGAAATTGATACATACTAACCTCTATATTTATTATGTCATTTACTCTTATACCACTTATTAAAAAAAATCTAATTTTTCCAAGGGAGACTCTTACTCTTCTTAGTCAATGAGAACAACTTACACCAAAGTCAAGATACTGGAATAGTAGAAACAAGACCCAAACTCGTGGTCAACACGATTTTTGATTATGTCGTTATTGTTTTTTCTTTTTGAAAATAAGTAATGGATGTTTATGTTGTTATTGGCATTTATGTGCTCGAATCTATCGTCACCTTCTCACCCTCCACAGCGCTCAAGCGCCTCCATCTTTGACTGAAATTGAAACTCTATTATAAGAAGAAAATGGAGCTACATTGCTTCAAGCCAAAAAACAAAAGAAAAAAAAAAAGAGAAAAAATGTGAAAGGAGATGGAATCGAAGAATGTGGAGATTTCTCAAATCCGTACAGATCTGCCATTTTCGAGCAGAAAAATCAAAGGGAAAGGAGATGGAATCGAAGAATAATTAGAATCAGCAGCTAGGCATCATCAAGCCGCTGGTACTTATGTGATAAATTTCTTGCTCTCTTTTTCCGCTGTTTTTAAGAGAGAGAATTTTAGTTTTGAGGTTTTAATTGGCATTTTCGAAGATGATGAGGGTCGGCATGGAGCTCATTTTGCAAGCTGTGTAATTAGATTTTTGATTAATCACCTGCCTAATTATCAAACATTTTCTCACTCTTTCCGTTTTATAGCCCCATACTTATTTTATAATTCATTATTGTCCCTTTATTTTGCTTTATACTTAATTCCACCACATCCATATATTTTGTTCCAAAAGCTCCTTTTCTTTTAATCTTCTTGTCTTTATTATTTATTAAAAAATAAAGATATTTCTTTTATATTTTAATTTTTAAGACTATTTAACTTAATACAAGCTTTCAAAAACTTACAAAATTTTCTTTTTATTTTTAAAAACTTAAAACTAAATAGAGATAATTTCACCTAAAAATTTTGAATTTGAAATTTTAACTTGACTATGAAAAAAAACAAAAGATCCAACTTGTAATTTTTTCAAATAATTTGTTTAAAATTTGATGGAGTATGATAAATAGTGTTGAGTACAGTTTGACAATTTCAATGTAGGGAGAGGGACAACTGGAGCTGGAGGACGAGGAGGGATGGGAATGAGATAAGGAAATATTGTAGGGACGTCGGTGACATTCACGCATCATTGTGGAGGTTAGGGGAAAATGCCAAAGAGTGCTCAGTGTGTGTTATCCAAACAAACATTTCAGCTAGAGAGCAAGGGGCATTAACTGAAAAAAAAAAAAAAAAAACAACTAAACGTTGTCTGATGTGGCGTTGGTGGGTCTACCAAAGCCCACCTGTAAAAAAAATAGAAATAAAAAAAGGGTTGGATATGTGACGGGTTAATGG